AGTGTTAGACCCAAGTTCGGATATGTCATACATGGACAAATGCATGTAATACACTAAATCTAATACTTTTATTACGCTAATGTTCTTGTAAACTAATTACACACTATTTAAATTCGACTCAAAGTACAATTAAATCATTCTGAACGTATCAGAATTTTACAGCAATAACCAAGTCCACTCAATTGCGCATCGCGTATTCGAAATGAATGCACGCGATATTATATTAAGTCACATGACATGAAAAACTTGTACTCTTTAATTCAAATACATGTGGGGTTAGGGACTCTCCTGTTAAAATCTTATTATTCATTCAAATGTATCGGGTTTCAAATGTAAAGCTGGAGTTACACAAGCAACAAAATGGTGCAACTTGCAACAAAATCTGATTTCAGTGCATGTTAATTGAAAATGTTTACACATAAATTACAAATCACAAGGCAACATGTGTCGACATTTCTACTTAACATGCGTTGAAATCAGATTTTGTTGCAAGTTGCAGCAATTCTGTTGCTCGTGTAACTCCAGCTTAACTGCCGCGTATTCTAAATAAGGCAACACAATGCTATGTCCCCAAGGGAAGGTGTTGATTTCTCAATTTTGTTTTCTAAGGAATTCACCGCTTGCTATATACTGGTTACCATCATACGTCTTCGGCTGTCATGTGATGAAACTTACTTTTGCGACCTTTAAACTGTTGTTGAGCGGCAAACTTGAAGAAATTGCGCCTTAAAGAAGCAAGGATTGAAATTTTTACTTTATTGAAAGAGATACGACGGAAGTTCGGATTTGTCTGGGGAAATTTCAGCTAACCAAACGAATTAACTACCTGAAATAATTTTACGCCAAGACTCACAATGGACTGGCTTTTAGACAACTATTACAAGACGGAATCGTGCTTATGAGGTAAGATGTATATACATTTTTCAATCAAAGCCTAATTTGAAATTTATTAATGCTTAAAAGCCATGTTCGCCTTAAATATATCTTCGCCAGGGGAACATATTTTCGTGTCGGTTTATAATTCCCTCAGCGCGATGAAGTTTGAATGTGATATTGCAAAACGCATTTGGTTATTTTTCTGCGCCTGTTTGCGAGTAAAAGCCGTAAAGGACTATTTTTAAATGATCCCAAATTATAGAGGAAAATCCTCTCAAATTTGATTTTCTTGACTTTGCGTGGGATATGGCGTGTTCATAATGAAAGTATATAAAATTCCAATCACCTTGCCTTTTATAAAGCTATATAGCCTACCTTCGCGCTTGGATATATATGTGTATATATAGGCCTGGTTTTTCCCTATTCTGCCAATATCACGGTAAGAGAGCCTGCCTTCTTTTTCACATGAAGATATACAGACTTTTGTCAAGAATATAAGCACGAGGCATTGGAGGCAACATTTTAGCTATGTGGACAGCCTTACTGAATATTTCGGTTAAATAGATCTATTTTGGATTGTTTAACTCGAATTAGTATAATCCGTAAACGTGTTGAAAATTTTAAGTTGAAAATTTCGTACCAGATTGAATTTGGGAAAGTTATCAAAGTGACGTAAACAAAACACGCGCATGAGCGGAACAGACTTGACTACTACTTTAACAAGTTTCCAAGAAACACAAAAGGATTATATTTATCGCAATGCCATCCTAGAGATAACTAGATTTTAACAATTTATGCATGATATACAAATTATCTGTATAAACTATTAAATTAACATGGATAATATTATAATTAAAATGTGCAAATAAGACAATATAGTTAAGAAATTGAAGTTACATGATAAGAGGTTGACATGTAACCAAAACGCCACAACATCACACAGGTGAAATAAGCGATGTTTGTGTTTTAATTTCAGAGGCATAAGTGGATCGAGAGATAGGCGTGTCGCCTCTTTAATTAGATTAAAGTCATCCATAGGGCTTGAGTGGACAGTAGATTGAAATAGCCTATGGGGATTTGTGTTATTTTACTGTCAAAGGGTAAGCTCTCCTTTGCTCTCTCGCAATTTATTAATGAGCACCAGTTTCTCTTCAGACTGCGATGGACTGGTGTCCGTCTTGTAATTGGCCGTGTAATATATCATACACAAGAAGTATATATTATGGTTTTAAACACAATAGCCGAAACTTTTGGGGTATCCATGCAGTAAATCACTGCAATAAACCCTTCCAAGTATAGTATAACTTTTTAGTGAAACATAAAATATTGCAAATAAATTTTAACGGAAAAAATTCCATAAAGACCCTGAGTCTTGAAAGAAAAAAACAGCGTGATCCTGGACCAACCCAATTTCACTGCGTTGCAGGTAGCCGAGAAGCCCTGGGAACGAGGATGCATGCACTTTGATACAAATTGACTTCAAGCTTAGTTTGAATTTAAAATTAGAAATAAAGCTACATTTTCAAATTTCAGGAAACACTTAAAAGGGCTGGACTGGAAATTTTGCTAAATCTGGCTCGCCTATCCAAAAGTCTATAAGATGGAAATACAATTTAACTCTAACGACTAAGACTCTTGCGTTGTACCCAGGCGTTAAAGTGTCTCTTCGCGAATCGCCCAGCCATTTTAGTATTTCATGTTCCCTACCATATAGCGCCTGGGTATGAGACAATTATCAGATAATAATCGTCTATTTTTACATAAGCCACGCTTTCCTGCAGTTTGTTCCTGCAGTTTGTTCCTGCAGCCAGTTTGCAAATAGCGTAAATAAAAGTCAAAAGTTAAACGTATATGCTTCAACAAACATAACTTCATGCAATATAAGTGTGCATTCTAATAGACATTCGATGTAATCTAACAAACTCTATAGAGCTTCTATAGAGTCAGGGGGGGCGCTTATTAGATATGCATGGGCACTAAGGTGGCTCGATACAGTTTTTAAAAACGGAAAACCGTATATTAATTGTTTAAAACCAAAGGCATCTTACAGTAAGATATTTTTTGTCTTTCGACGCGTAATAGTTGTCAAAAAATACGAATCTAAATCGTGAATGGGCGGGAGGGGGCGGTAGAGAAGGGGAAACGTAAGTTGGGCAAAAAGCTGCATGAAATAAATTTTAAAGGAAGAAGTATGCAAGATAATACTGGAAAATGGAAGACATGTACGGTTTCGAAAAATTGTAGACGTTTCCGAAATTTGTCAAGTTTTCCTCTTTCAAGGTATCACTTGACTTGTTTGTCAAAATTATTTATTTTAAGGTGGCTCGCTACAGTTTATAGAAATGTTGAAAATGCGTAAACTAGATCATCTTTTTGAAGAGATGACGCTCTTTACAAATCGAAATTTGTATATTACATATACAGCGACAATCAAACAGTCGAAAATTGGTGAGAAAAGTGACGTCACCACTGTTGCTATGGCAACAATGACGATTCAAGATGGCCGATATTTTGGTTTTGAACGCATTTTACTTTTAATTTAAGAAAGGTCGGTTACCCCCATTTTTTATTTCGGAAAACATTTTCTTACAGTGCAATGCACTATCTGACCAATTTTAAAAAAATTCTGTAATGCAAAAAAAAATTATTTCGGAAAACCATGTTTATAATTTTTTTAAAAATTTGGCATTACAGAATTTTTTTTAAATTGGTCAGATAGTGTATTGTACTATAAGAAAATGTTTTCTGAAATAAAAAATGGGGGTAACCGACTTTTTTTTAAAGTAAAATGCGTTCAAAGCCAAAATATCGGCCATCTTGAATCGTCATTGTTGTCATAGTAACAGTGGTGACGTCACTTTTCTGACCAATTTTCGACTGTTTGATTGTCGCTGTATATATAATATACAAATTTCGATTTGTAAAGAGCATCATCTCTTCAAAAAGGTGATCTAGTTTACGCATTTTCAACATTTCTATAAACTGTAGCGAGCCACCTTACTGGAAGTATGAGCACAGTTTCAATTTAAATATAATACTTCGATTTCTGCTGGAGTATAGAAGAAGCTCCCTGCAAGGAGCGAGTCTGTGTTGGCTTTGCCGGGAGTGTATCCAGATGGTGCTTGGTAGGTGCGACCAAAATCTGTGAAGGACTTGGAATTTAATCCCGAATTGTTGGCAATACCAAGTCATCGTTTCCAAATACTTGTCCAACATCAATACAACGGTATATTGTCGACCTGTCGACATTCTCATCTCTCAGTGGAGCCTTGAAAGGCGCAAGGTCGTCATTATTGCGAAGAGAAAACAAGAATGATTCTGGAGCAGATGTGCTACCATCTGACAAAAATAAACACAATAATCTCTGGTTAAATATGATTACTTCCCTCGACAGAGCTGAATAATGAAATATTTCATAATAAAGATTTTGAGTAAACGACTTTGATTATTTTACAATTATCAAACAACGTTGATCAACAGGGGGGTACGGCAGAACCATGGATATCTTATATACACTAGATAGTGCATAATGGAATAGGTTTAACTTAATGTTTAAGTTACCTGTTTAATAAATAGAAAACATACGAATCTTCTCATTTCATGGGAGTATCCTGAGTCTGCAATTACGGCTTCAATTTTTGAATTACAGAATAATTAGATGATCTAATCTTATAAAGAGACAATCTTACTTTTACTCGAAGGCACAATATGTCAGTAAGAATAACAGTAGCAAATATGTAACAATGACTCTAATACTAAAGGGGGTATCAACGCTGAAATCATTCATGCGTGTGATAAATTATGCTTGAAAGGCTAATATCGCGCGTTGGACTTTATGTAAAACACCTTCTAAATTTGCACCCTATGAATTCCAATTGCGTTTTAAGCCTTCTATTTTTATACGCAAGTCATTTTTAAACTGATTTTTAAAAACAACCCTCCTGCACTCAAAAATTTACCTTTCAAAATAATTTTAGTGAAGAACACAACTATATCCATGCTTACATATAATGCTTTCACAAATCTTGCGGAATTTGCAGTTTAGCGAATATAATTTTCGAACTGTGCAGTTTTTTATACACCTTGTAGCTATATAATTATGACTATAATCAATTAAAACTTACCTCCAGCCCATGATCTGGTAGCGTAGCCACCAAAGACCAAACTCTTATTATTCTTGACAACTTGAACGATGGTTATGGTCGGTACTTTCCCGTCGCATTTCCGATGAAATGTCGAGGCTGCCCAACCATGTTCGCTGGCTCTCCAACATATTCTCCAATATCCTTGTCTTGGCAACCATTCTTCCAGCTTATTATGAAATTCAATTGTCTCATTTGCCAATATCACTGACTTGCGAAATGAGCCTAAATATTTTTTTCTCTTATTACTTCACCCTGCATAATTGTTATATAAATATATGTGCAATAATCTATTTTACAATATGTGTACAATAATCTACTGGTACAATATTGCAACTGGTTCGATTCCCAGTACTCAGAAATTTTTTTTGGCAAACATAAATATCAACTTAATTGACAAGTAAATATTGATACAAAGCAAAGTAACTGGTAGCAAATAAGGTTGTATTTGTACAAATAATGAACAAAAATCTTTATACCTGTATGAGTTCAGTACAACCCCGGTTTAAAACTGCATATAAATTTCCATCTACATGCAAAAACTCATCTACATTCGGTAATTCTATGGATGCTTATGATCAGTCGTTTCTCATTACAAATGTAAAACAACTGCCAGCAGCCATCTACTAGTATAAAAATGGCTTCAGCGGGTTGGAATGCATCTTAGTCTGCTTATTAATCATTCTTAACCCGGAAAAAGCTATATGCCCGCTAATATTATAATGATGAATAATGCAGTCAATTAGGTAATTGCAAGGTATTGAAGTAAAAAAATATTGGTGGCAGTACAAGTCGGCATTGATGATTGAATCTTAATCGTTAATTCAAGTCACTTACGGTAGAAATGAAAGCGACACACTTGACGATTTCTAGATGCTAACCTACTTTAAGTGGCAGTCACAGTACTTGGAATTTAGACTTGTCCACTGTCTTAGTTTTTTGCCCATGCAGCCTCGTTTTCGGTTCATTTGCTTTATTACATTATCACGGACCGAAGTAGCCCTAACAGGATTGTCTCTGCATTTTAATCAATTTTAGCATTCATAATGTGAGCCAATCAATTAATGGGTACTCAGCAATATTATGATGATTATTATAACTCACCCATTCGCTCTTGAGGCTGTATAGAGCTATGTACAAGGACCAGGTCATCATAATATGAATTGTTGTCCAACAGAATATTACGAGATATATTTCCATTTGAGATATTCATTTCATTTACATAGAATAGATCATTTTTCATGAAGTACAGTGAATCTTCAAGCACGCCCAGTAAATGATCATTGAATGATCCACTCTTAATAGTTTTCTGGTCCACGCCATCATAATCACTTGAAACAATATGGTCAACGCCGGATTGAATCCCTTTCTCGAGCCAGTAAACTCGGTTCTTGGTGCAATCAACAGTAATAGCGTAAGGTTCAGAGAACGCCCGGTTTGACATGACTTTGTACTTAGGAGCCAAACTTATTCCCCGGACGAACTTTGCAATAGGCTCGGTCCAAAACAAATACCTATGAAGCAAGGAAGAACGATAATATGTTAAAAGACGGGTACAGATGAGCTGTTCGTTAAATATGTTGGTACTAAATAACTATAAGTTACTATATTCCAAGGAAAATGCTGCCGAAAGGCCGTAGAAAAAGTATTCTGTAATCAATTTCAAGAAAAAAAATTGAGATTGAATATAAAGATTGTACATAACGACATGCAGTGTGGAATGTTTGTATTTTGTTTACATTACAGTATGAGTTTACCGGCTATAGAGGTACGTTTCATTTCATACTTGTCTCCATCAGTGAATATATATACAAATTGTCTACCTCCCGAGAGCTTTTGAAAGGAAAATGTACTGCATGAATGTATTTATTTCCAATATAAAAAGATTAGAAAGCACAATACTATAGGTGTAATATTTCAAATCCGACTATGAGGACTGGACTAGATCTCAAGTGCGCGCAATTTGATAAAGTCTGATAGGACTGGATCAAAGTGCGAGGACTTGAAATCTAATCCAGTCCGAATTGGAGGATTTGAAATGACATATCATAAGAATAAATCACTGCTTAAAGAGGCAGTGTCACGGTTTTACTGCGCATCTAAAATATGCGCAAACGTGAAAAACTGTCTGCCAACAATTAATCAAGATAGAAGTGAAATACAATATTCTATTTATAATCCCTTCGTTATGCAGGACACTCTTGTATCCGTTTTAAAAATTGAAGGCTGTTGTATCTTTTCCAGTCATGTAGCATTAATTTTAAACGTTTCTTTGCGCCGTTTATTTTAGCCAATCAGTGCCATGACACTGCACCTTTAAACTGAAGTGAATTAATTTTGATCCAGTCCAAGGACTGAATTAATTTTGATCCAGTCCAAGGACAATACTCTTCACCAGGTATCCAGTATTGTCATGTGAACAATAGGGTTGGCTAGTTTACTCATGAATTATTAATGCGTTTGAGATGTGGAAAGAAAGCCCTGCAAAGTATTTTTACTAAAACTTGTATTGTACGCTATCGCCGCGAAAAACTACAAAGAATTTATCAGAACTCTATATATGGAGTGTGTACATTCGTCGTTTAAAAGACTTGATCGGCTTGGTATAATCTCTGTCTCACAGAATAGAGACCACACAAAAGTCCGACCAAAGACAATCCAGAAGTCAGGGACTAGAAATGCGGGCTAAAGCGCTATGTGGCTTTGTTGCCATCCCTGTCTTCTCGGTTGTCTATGGTCCGACTCGGCGAAAAAAAAACCGCAAACGCCGCAGCGCCATGATTATAGGCACGGAAGCATCTCAAAGGGGCTCTGACTAAAAAGGGCACCCCAGGGACGGATCCATCCTGAAATCCTAGACCTCGCACGACTAGGGGTCCGGAAAAAATTTTGAATTTTAAACCTTGGAAATGCCATTTCCTGCATTCTGAGCCTCGGATTTCGTCCTAAAATTTGTCCTCGACGAACCCGCATTTCAGACAAAAAGTAATGGAAAACACAAAAAAAATAAATTGGGGGAGCGCATGAAAGTCAACTGAAATAATTCGTCATCAGATATACAGCACGTCATAAAGAAATTCTTCAAATCAATAATCTTACCTCACTGTTGCGTCCATTGCTATACTAGACGGGTAACTCTTTGTGTTCATTAGCACAGTTCTATTTTCTCCATCCAAATTCGCTACGTAAATTTGCTTTTTTGAATATTCAGTCCAGTACAGACGTTTTTCTATCCAGTTAATTGCCATGTCATCAGCACTAACATTTTGTAAAATGACTTCTACGCACATGTCATGATCATCCAAATTTATCCTTGATATACTGTTGTTGTCTGCGATGTATAAGTTGTTCTCCACGGTGTCAATCTCCATCGTCCCACGTGCAAGGCCACTGATGACGACAGTTGTGTTTAGGGTTGCGACAGTTGTGTTTAGGGTTGAGACAGTTGTGTTTAGGGTTGAGACAGTTGTGTTTAGGGTTGAGACAGTTGTGTTTAGGGTTGTCAAATCAATGGCGTGGATTCCAGACTTTGATTTGATCAGCAAGTAGGGTTCAGCAGGGAGTCCTGTAGAAAGAGCGATATATCATTACAGACTATTTGTATAGACTTGCATTGAACTGTTGTTCTAGCGAATTAAGTCAATAAATTATGTTTAGCAAGAGATAATCTTCAGCATTCATATTTCTTTATTTTACTTTTTCTATAAAAGGTTATTTTGTTTGAGAGTGAATGTGTGTCAAGTTACAGATCAGTAAAATCTTTCAAAGACAATGTTTACAAATTTATCAAAAGCATAAAATTTGAAATATTTGGCCAACACTTAAAGTGCATATGACACGGAATTTCTTATTTTCTTAAATGAAAGAACTCTTTAAGCTGTAGTGTAACTTAATTTTCAGTTTCTTGTTTTTATGGTTTGTTCCCGAGATATTTCAATTTGTTTGATATGTAAATGAGTGTGAATATGTCCGCTAATTTATGACGTCATGTTGGTTGCAAGCTCTTTAAAATGGTTGAATATCACTGCTATCATCCAAGATGATAATTTCAAACTTCACTCACTGATGAATGTGATGAAACACTGTTGAAAAACGTGAATAAATATCTACAGTTTTTAGAGTTAATTGATTTATAACCAGTGTAAGTTGAGCTTGCAACCAACATGACGTCATAAATTAGCGGACATATTCACACTCATTTACATACCAAACAAAAAACTGAAAAATAAGTTACACTACACCTTAAAGAGTTCTTTCATTTAAGAAAATAAGAAATTTCATGTCATATGCACTTTAAAGAAATGTAATTCATGCATCTTCTAACATTTTTTTTCACAGGCAAAACTAGAAATATTTATTATTGTTATTTTTAAAACTATTAGACTTAAAACGCAGGCCATCCTACTTTTCCTACCTTTTCCTACTTTTCTCTACTTTTCTTCAACTTTCCTAGCTTTCCTACTTTTTGTTAAAAATTCCTTGATTTTCCTACTTTTTCATAAATCCTACCTTTTTAAGACAGCCGTTGGGGAATCAGTATATGTTATCGCTAGATCTATAGAACTCGTAATTTTTATGTCCCAGATGATATGATCTCAGGAAGAGAAAAAGTACATTTTCCGAGTATAAAATTCCACAGCATTCCCAGAATCATAATCAATAAATTAATGAAGACTCTGAAAATGCCACTTCCTATGATCTAGACTCTAGAGATTCCGAATATTCAACCCCCCAGTTAATCAAGCATCATATGCTCCTGCCGCACAGTGTGGATTAAGGTGTATGACGTGGCCAAGTACATGCACTCGCACGCATAACGCATTTTAATAGTGTTGCTGCAGTGCAGATGCCTTAGCTTTTATACCGATGCAACATTCATTGCCTATATTAATATCTAATTTTTAAAAGTTTTTAGAAAAAATCCTGCATAGATGAATAAGTACAAAAAAAATATTGAGCACCAAAACTTCACACAACTTCTTCATCATCTAATGGTCCACCCCTTACCACATATATCCTAAGGGGTAATTTGTATATTTTTGTGTTATTTGCATCTCCAAAATCTCCCACTTTTATCCTACTTTTCTGTACATTTTCCTTCTTTATTCCTACTTTTCCCGAAATTCTAGTCCTACTTTTATCCTACGTTTCTACACAAGGATGCCAGAATGCCTGAAAACGCAGAAGGAAAATTATATATAAGCACTTATTGCACTTTCTGAATTTATAGGGAACTACAATCAATTTGTAAAAGAAAGAGGATAATTGTGTGAGCTGACAATATATTGCTTTCTATATGTTTTAAAATGAATTATGAAAGCAAAATACTCTCTTGATACTGTACTGGAATTATTCTAAAGTCAATTTGCATGTTGCGCTTTAATTAAAGAAATGTCTTTCACAACCGAAAATATAGATTCTTTCCTGGAACTATGCATGCATGCATTAATCTTTATTTTGATGCAGCAGAGTGATGAAAACATTCTGGGCCCTGTACTGTATTCGTAAATTACCTTTATTGATACTATGAAAGCATATCTTCTTGTACATACACATCCTCTCGTAATTGTATTCTTTATCTGCTTCACAGCGCGGTGTAGCAAGATTTTGACCTTCACCATTCAAGTATCGATTACGCCAGTTTTTATCGTTTTCTCTCAGTTCATTGAACCGCTTGCGACAAAACGGGATATCATTATTACAAACGACCAGACTTGTAGCAAAATATATCAAGATATGAATGCCAACAATGATCTTTGTTGCAATAAGAATCATTTTTCTTATCTCTTAGCAACCAATCTGTTTGAGTGTGAACACCGTCTGAATAAATAGGAATAAAGGTTAAAAGTTGAATTGTTATACATGAAAAAGATTTTGGGTATTTCGCTCAATAGATATGAACGTTGAAGAGATTTTGATGATGCAAATATTGAGCGGAAATTATACATCGATCGTATGAGGATCATGAAAAGCCTATATATATATATATATATATATATATATATATATATTTATTTAATCTTAAAAATGGTATATGTTGCTACTCAGAGTTTCATGCAATTTCGCAATCTTCAGGCAACTATATATATATATATATATATCTGACACGTGACCACATATATGGAATTATATATATATATATATATATATATATATATATATATATATATATATATATTTATTTAATCTTAAAAATGGTATATGTTGCTACTCAGAGTTTCATGCAATTTCGCAATCTTCAGGCAACTATATCTATATCTATATATATCTATATCTATATCTATATCTATATCTATATCTATATATCTATATCTATATATCTATATCTCTATATATCTATATATCTATATATCTATATATCTATATATCTATATATCTATATATCTATATATCTATATATCTATATATCTATATCTATATCTATATCTATATCTATAT